AAACTTTGATATTTAATTTCTAAAGGCTTTGAAGCACAAATTTTTTGTTAATGAAATAAAATCATACAAGTAATACCATGAATAATTTCTTGAAAAAGGTTTCAAAGCTCCCTATTCTTGTAGTCTACTATATTAACATTAACAATGCATTTAGTTCTTGAGTGCCTAACTATAGAGGCCTGCAATACTGTCATTTGTAACTGTAGGTCCTTTTTCTCAGTTATTTGAATGAATCATTATATTTGGGAAGGGAAGGGAAGGGAAGGGAAGGTGGACTGACAAAAAGTATCTTCAGCTGAAAAATACTGCTTCACTTTTTTTTTCATGAAAATTCACAGATGTTCTGTGAGTAATAAGATTTTCTGTGTGGCTTCTCACTAAAAAGATTTAATTAAAACCCCATCTTTTCTATCGTAATTTTTTTTTACTGTCTTCATTAGCCAATATACTACTCAGCATACTTAAAGAAAGTGTTATTAATATTTATGATAAGAAATATTAGATTAGTAAATACTTCTATTTCACTTACAAATTTGAGTCCTTATACTAATGTTGAACGGACTGTTTGAAGTTCAGACTGACTGTGCTGCAACATCTGTTTATTATTTCTTCACTTTCCTGAAGACTTCATCTGTGCATTTGGTTTGTTCTTCCAAAGGGGCCAATCAAAGAAACAAATTCTTCTCTATTCCCTAGCCTGGCAATAGTATTTGTCACTGAGCTTAAAAAAAAAACCTCAACCCTGAAAAAAAAAGGTCTGGTAATCTTCCATAGCTGGAAATAGATTAAGCAAATAAGCAGCATTCCTGATTTTGATGAATTATTTTTTCAAAGGTGTGTGACTAAAACTGTTGATGAAATTGCTAAACAAGGTGTACAGCTGCTCATTAAATAGATCTTCTTAAAGGCTTCTCTTCTAATCAATAGCAAAAAGTCTATCTTACTCAGCAGGGAAAAAGGGATTTGGGACTTCACACTCCATTGGTAGGATTTGTCTTTCCTGACACTGCAGGTATGACAAGGAAAATATTCATTATCCCACATTTAAAGACCTGTCATGAGGTTGTACCTGTATAAGCTAGTTGTCTTAACTTAAACAGTGGAGAGAAATAAGCATTGGGTGAGATTTCTCTTATCCCAAAGAGAACAGTTAAGGCACAAATTACTTGAATTGTGCTCTAGAAAGGATTGACCCATTACAAAACAATCTTGTACAATTATCTCAGATGGAGATAATTGTTAGGTACTGTTAGTGCTGGATGAGACGAATCCCAACCCTGACTACAGATTTTCCTAAATTCAGAAGCTTAGCTGAGCTGCCTAGTTAAGAATTTAGTCACTGATCTTATGTGTCAGCAATGAGATATTGACATCTTCATAGGTCATTCATTCTGCTCATTACTAGATACTTCTACACTGCAGTAGAGGAATGGGTGCAGAGGGATTTACATTCATTTTGCTCAAGACTGATCCCCCTTAGAATGAAATGTCCAGGACAATTCTGCATAGCATTTTATCTAGATCTCTTCTTAAACCTCTCTGATGCCCTGAGGATCTCAGAAAAAGCCCTTCCTTATTATTACCTTTCTTTTCTCCCACATCAAGTTGCCTGAAATAATTACAGAATTGTGTTTCATCCAACCAGTATATTGTTTCTTATAGCATGATGTGAATAGTATACATTGCATGTAGGGATATTTGAGGGTATCAAATCTGCTGGAACAGGGCTGGAATTCAGTCTAGTATAATGGAAACCAAACCAGCATATTTTCATTTATATCACCTAAAAGGAGGGAGCTTTTAAATATATAATCCCTAGATCTGGAAGTGTTTAGATCACTCCAAAATGTTGTCCAGATATGAAATAAACTACATGCAGTGACTTGGGATCACAGTTGGGAATCACATCTTGGGAATGAAGTGGTGGTAAAGTTATTGATAATGTAGAGTCATCCTTAAATACTTCTGTTAGAATAATATGTATCATTTCAGAAGAGAGTGTTTTTCTCCCACAAGCATTCCAGAGACAGCCCAGATGACTGACTTAGAGTTAGACAACTCTGTCTGTGAGGAACTTTTCCTCCATCTAAAAATATTCTGATGACTCACATCCATTGTTCTGTTGTTTTTGTTACTTTAACTGAGTACACGTGATCAGGATATTAGTTTTTTCAATGCTTTCTATATACATATATACATGCTATTCTATGATTTTCAAAATTGAGAAAAAATCTACATTGTTAATATTTGACTAAACTCATTTTTATTTAAGAAATTTGGAAAAATAAGTGTAGATTCATATTTAATTTACAGTACACATTTTGTAGTACAAGTTGGTTGGTGCTGCCTCATACTCTACTCAACTGTTTAGTATTAACTGCTTATCCCATGAACTTAATTGAAGTTTGAGGCACAGTGGAAAAATTGCTAACTATTTGATTCATTGAAAAGAGTAATCCACGCAAGCAGAAGTTGTCAAACAACTGTGAAAACTGAGTCAACAAAGAAGATTAAAGTGAAAAGATACTAGTCTTCTGCAAAAAAAGAAGTTTAAGCTGGTTAATGATTTTTTTTTCCTACTGGGTGGAGTGGACTGAAATGGAGCAGAGGTACCTTCCCTCCCCTGAAACAAACAATGATAACCATTCAACCAAGTACAGAGTCTGACATTGTTCACTACTTCCAGATGAATTTTACTACAATGATAACATTCAACCAAGTACAGAGTCTGACATTGTTCACTACTTCCAGATGAATTTTCTCTATTATAATAGAGATTTATGAGAGGAATTTGAGATTTCCAAGCTTACCGGGGGTACTTGGATACCAGTTGCCTTGTATAAAACAGGGTCAAATAAAGTGAAATTCATTTCACCTGAATTTAGATATCTAAAAGGTAGTTGTTTGAACAGGTCAGCTATGTTTCCTGTGTGGTAACATGGAGAGACAAAAGTCTTCAAAGGTAAATTCATCTAATTTATCTTAAATACCTGTTGAAGGATGGAGTAAATCACACATGGGAGCTACCTATTTTTCTTCATTAATGTTTTAGAGTGTCTAGATGATTAGCATAGACTTGGGTAATTTTTAGACATCTGAAGCAAGGTACGATAAATATCATCTATAGGCTGAATTTATCATAACTAAAATTGCACGGTATAGGTATCTCTTTGAAATCAAGTAGTCTAGCCTCCTCTAACATTCAGTAGAGAGAAATTAACACTTCCACAGTATGCTCCATCTGGCATTATTTTCAAATCTGTAGCCCTGGGGGGTCTCATTTGCTGTCAATTACTTCAAAGACAGTCTAGACCCATATATTAGCTATAGACGTTTCAGTTCTGGATGCATAAATATGGCAAAGATAAACCTCACTCTTCTAGCCCCAGGGAGAGTGGCTCCAGGTTATTCCACTTCATGTAATCTCATAATCGGGGAAGGAATTAGGAGTGTAATCATCCTAGCATCCCAGTATAGGCAATGAACAAACATAAACAGCTCCAGGGAATGACTGTGTAAAATAGCTAAAACAGTATGTCTTGTAGAGGAAATGAGGAGAATATTTTCACTCCCTAACTCATTTTATCTCAGCTGATAAAATTTGGGGGAGCAATTCAGCTAGCCAACCAATGATATTCTCTGCCATTTCAGATGCTATAGGTTATCTAAAATATCTGCACGGGGCTAGCACATATAACAAGGATCCACCAGAGACGCACATCCTTTTAGAGTGGGAGACAGAAGCCAGGCAATATACTTTATAGTATCTAAAAATAGCGTGAATGCTTATGATTATGTACCTTAGTTACCCTGTCTAAGTCCTCTGTATCAGTAAATGTGGTGAAAAATATATTTCTGAGGAGAATTTACCCCATCTATTCTACACACCTATCTTTGGAGACCATGACCGGTACTGTTTAATATCTTCATCAATGCCATAGACATTGGATCGAGTGCACCCTCCGCAAGTTTGCAGGTGACACCAAGCACACCAGAGGGACAGGATGCCATCCAGAGGGACCTGGACAAGCTCGAGAAGTGGGCCCGTGTGAACCTCATGAGGTTTAACAAGGCCAAGTGCAAGGTCCTGCCCCTGGGTCAGGGCAACCCCCAGTATCAATACAGGCTGGGGGATGAAGGGATTGAGAGCAGCCCTGCCGAGAAGGACTTGGGGGTACTGGTGGATGAAAAGCTGGGCGTGAGCCAGCAACGTGTGCTCGCAGCCCAGAAGGCCAATC